TTTTACAATCAGTTTAATTAGTAATCAGGTAGCTCTGTCCCTGCTTGCTTCAAATCTTTTCACAGAAACTTTTAAGAACAGTTTCATTTAGTGGAAAACCTTTTGCTTAAGTTCTCATTTCCCTCTTAGATGCTTTGTCGTTCTATTTATAGGAACACAGCTAACCGGTCCTGCTGCGGCGCAATGACATTCTTCAATGCTAAACCACATATCAGCTAATTTTGATCAACTGCAACACTAAACTTCCCTTATAAAACAAAGGTCAACTATGGGCACTGTGAGTGTTTGCAAAGTGTATGTGAAAGAGGGTGAGGTCATGATAAACCTGCTCCGTCTTAACTGATAAAGGACGGTACCAGCCACAGTGCGTATTCCCCAGAACTGAACGAGTCAGTTGATGACATTCCTCTGATGTCCTCGTCCTCAAGCTTTGATTCATCAAATCAAATACGTGTATGTTTGTTTGTGGTTTGGTGGCGTTCACTGGAATTTCAAACATTATAATTATTATATGACCAACGCAGGTCCAACAAGAAAAATGTTTTCTCTGAAAGTTGACAGGCCTACACAAACAATCTGACCTCCACCACATCCGACACATTTGAGATGAGGTTGTTTGGCCGTGAACTGCAGTCATTAACTTTCAGTGTGTTCACATCAACATCACTTTATTGTTTTTCTTTTTCAAAGAGGTCTCAAATATCACCTGAAATGACGAACAGTAATGTGGGAAATTCTTTGATTTAACCTTGTGTTGGGCCAAGTCATCATTAATGATGACCGCAAAAAATACCCCTGACCCTTTGACCCTATGGTATCAGAATATATGTTTGTTTGTGTTGTTTTTTACCTTTAAAAGGTTTACAGCTGCACTTTAGGGCAGTAGTATGAATCAAGCATTAGACAGCAGACAAAATCTTTAAAACTGATCATTTCTATAGTCGTCCAACTTTCTTAAACACGGGACCGTCTCATGTTTCCACCATCCGTCATACACATGAACTCTGTGCAGGATTATGAAATAACATCTAATGGGATTGTAAGTGGCAGGTTAATTCTTGCCCTTTTGGAATGATTCATTCATTTAACTTTAGCTGTAACAACTCATATTCCTAGATGTACAGTAATTTCCCATAATAGCAATAGAATAATAGTTCTACTACTTTTAATAGGAAATAAGACAGCCTCCAACAAGAACATAAAAACTGGTGTACAGGAAAGAAAAATGGAAACCCTGTTGCTCTTCAGTGAGTAGAAGAGTAACTCTGTAACTATGATCTAACTAACAGTTCAATCAAAGCTCTATTACTCTACACAGTTTCACCTCAGAAGTCTCTCACA